ACATTCCTCTGCGTAAAAGCAGGACTGTAGTCGTCTGGGCCCCCCCCCCCCCCCCCTCAATTCTGGCCATAGCCGAGCAGTACTGTTCGGGTGCGGTTCGCGTCTCCTTCCGAGTGCTACTCGGTCGGCGCCTCGCGAGCGACCTCCCCTGGTCTCGCGGAGTCCCGGACGGTCTCTCGAGACGAGGCGGGCTCGACGCATCTCGTCGCGATGCCTCAGCACCAACGGCAGGTGATCTCCCTCCGATCGCTGGCTATGTAACGATATACAGACGATATATCGGTCATCAATCGGCTCTCTATGAATATTGTGCCAAGTATGATGACGGATAAGACAGTAGTATTAGCCCTATTCCTCGAAGAAAACCAGGATAATGGAAATATAGTTGGGTTGATATTATGGCAACATGCATTTATGGAAACAGTAGCAGAAGTTAATTCGAAATTGCCTGCCAATGATCTTACTCGGCCTTCAGATTAAAAAACAAAACAAACAGGAAACCGCATTTTTACAGGACACGAAGCCAAAGCTATCTTGATTTTGCCGTTGGAGGCGGCCACGTCAAGGCGCAGCGGCTCGTCATGGCCCTCGCCGGTCCCACGTCACAGCCTGGCTGGGGGTACGGGTCACGCCCGCATACTCCTGAAGGTCTCGTGTGGCTGTGGCGTTAGTCCGTTGGTCCAATCTAACACGTGGACGGTTTGTCTTTTCTGGTTCCCTTAAATTTTCCTGGTAGCTCGGGCCGGCCGGGCCCTCACCGAAACCCGTTTAGCGCATACGCACGGTTTTCTTAAACTGGCGCGTGTACTCATACAGTCTCATAGCCATTAACAGGCTTAGGAATGTGCTTTCCAGCTCCACAATAAAGTACCTAGTTGAGTCACTGGTCTCCCCTAACATCAGATATCGTTTACCTGCATGGGCCCCGACAACAGCCGTTCAGCGCCAGCGCCTGGATAAGGCTATTGACTTCGCGGTCAGAATTGTTGCCGGCAAACGCAGACAATATCACATTACGGAATCCCAAAAACAGCTAAACTGGCCCAATTTCGACGAAACTGTCACCCACTGCGACTACATATGTTTGCATCCCTCCACTTACGAGCCTGATGGGCCACAGGTTATCAGTAATCTGGTCAGGCGCCGATCTGAAGTATCTCAGCGGCACACCAGAAACACCGAAGACGAAAATATACTGCAGACGAGAGCTAAAAAACACCCTCGCTTAGAGTGCATGAAAAGGACATTTCCCTATCGAGCCATAGCGGCGTGGAATCGCCTCCATGCTGCCACGCGCCAGTGCAAAATTTTTAATGAGTTCAAGGGCAAAGCAATGTCTTTCACCAGAGAACCAACCTAAATTGACCAGCTGGCCATGAGGTGCAGGTGCTGATTATACCATATGTCACTCATACTTTATAGCATCGTAAATGTATCGCTGGCGTTGCATCTCATTTGCATGTGTTGCGTGTTCTGCGTTTAGCTATATAGCATGTACTGACGCGCCGTTAGAATAGACGCTCGCTGGATTTCGCTTAGGTTCGCAATAGTAATGTCTGGAAATTGTGCTCACGAACGGCAGATATAAATGACTCGACCATGAAATTGTTGTGGCCTTAGTAACCTCATGGATCCTTAAATGGCACAATTTTAATAACATTATCATGACGTTATGAATGCCCAGATGACCTTAAAGCACCTTCCCAACTTACTTTTTCACAACTTAGCGGCATTTAAGCTCATGAACCGGAGGGCTTTAGGTCCTAAAAGGGCACGACCGTGAACTGCATCAAAAGGTCTTCAATATGGCTGTTGCAGTTCAAAGCACAATACAAATGTGGACTGCCCCTTTTAAAGGAGCGCGCACCGTTGTTGTTCCGCAACTGTGGTGCTATTGGTCTTCGGCAATGACTCTTGTCATTATAAGTAATGGTCTGGGTTCAACGGTCGATAAAATCATGATTTTCCGTGCAGTTTTCGTTTACCTTGTTTGCGCCATTACCTACCACACGTGCTGGTTCTTTCTGCCGCGCTGATCGGGTGTCATTCCTGTTGTACTTAACAGAGCTATATTCGCACTCGAACGGCGCGTAAGTCAATATCATGAATGAAAAAGGGATTATAAGTGTCAGAAGCCTCGAATCCAATTTTCGCTGCTGTCATCATGATTAAAAAACTCATCCATGAACTTGCTGGGATGCCTTTTTGGAAAGTTGGAAGACTAGACACATTTTCTCCGAGTTAGCCACGGTACTCTGAGACGCGGAAAATCGCCGCTCTGTCAATTTATTTCAAAATCGCAAGTGTGCAACACACGAGGCTGCATCCAACACTGTGTTTTCGGGGCACCGATAGCGGTAACGCTCGAAAGTTATCGCACAACGGATCGATATTCGGTACTGGCCGTTGTAACAGGTCGTGCCTGGTTAGCTCAGGTTAGGTCAGCTCATGCCTGGTCAGTGATGGTAACTGGCATGTCTTAGTCATCTGGATGAGCTTCAACCCATTCTGTGTAATAATCGTGCAGCGGTTTAAGCCCCCGAGGGATCACGTGGCTGAAAAGAGCCGAGGCCAGGTCAGGTCACATGATAGCACCTCACAAACAAGCATAAGCGACACATCATAGTCTATGGTCTCATGTACTACTCCATCCCATCCCATCCCATCAAAATAGCCCTATTTCGGATAGAGGGGAGGATGGGGGGGCCTAATTTTACCCTCGGATTTTTTCGTTGATTCCTCCGAAACAGTTTAAAACACATCGCTACGTTCTTAATTTTTCTAAACATCATTTATATTGCTGCTTCGAGGTCACAGGAGTAACTGATGCCTCCGATAAATGATATAGACAAATGCAACACGGGTGGTTATTGCAACATAGCAAGAGTGGCATGACGGACGTTTATATATATATATATATATATATATATATATATATATATATATATATATTATAAGCACATGCACGGTGTACACCAAGGTACAGGCACACGGGTGCACCAAGATGCAAACACACGTAAAATATAAGTGTTTTTTTCCCTGATGATGCTACAGCTCTGTGAAACGCGTCGGCGAGCAATATAAGACGCGTAAGTTGATCAGTATATGCTGATATGAGTCACTTCTTAGTGAGAAAGCAATATATATATATATATATATATATATATATATATATATGCATATATATAAATGTATATCTATATACATACGAAAACAGTATACATACACATGCAAACGCTTACGGTGGCAAATCGAATTCAGATTTCGCGAAAGAGAGTTCTGATGAACATATTCTCAAATCCATGCGAGCGCCACGGTATTATGAATAGGTATCGTAGAAGCATATACGCACATGCGCAGCTAACTGAATGAAAAGAAAAACTTTTGAGCAGAGATGCCTCCAGATATGAAAGCAAGACGAACAAATATCATCTGAACATGCAAGTTTAGAACGGAATGTGTTATTCCATTCTTTGCTTCTGTGCAGTTACGACCATTTCACAAAGTTATGCCCGAGCCAAGTTCAGGAACGGCAGAAGGGGTGGGACTGCAACACATGGAGGCTGTAGCCACCAACAATAAGGCCGTCAGTTGACGTTTGCGGCAATGAACCACACTCCAATGACGTGTACCCACTCCCCTTCTTTTGAAAGACTGCATAAGCATGTGACGCATGTCCGCACAGGCTACAAGGCACCATACTTCATTTGCAGTGCATTGCAGCATCGTGACCGCCTATAACATCTCCTTCTTATTAAGCCTCGCGTTTTCACCAGCTCATTGGACACCTAGGCTCTGCTTGTGCCAAGGTTTGGCTCACACAAACTCAGAACAAGGGTGACACCATCTCATTTGCTCTGCAAGCACCTATTTAGAAGCACGTTTTGCCACTTGTATCATGAAATCAGTTTACACATTTTTGATGCGCCCATGAATTTCCAAGTTTGAGCTGCCCCCATAGCATGTCAACCTTAGAATTATAACATGTCTATCTGCATTAGTTGCATTGTCATCGCTCCATAAATGTGACAACCGTGTCGGATGAACAACGCATTTACAGGTATGTGTTGCTACCCCCGTTGCCGCCTATCTGAAATGGCTGTTAGAAATGGTTGATAATCTATTTTCATTAACGTATCTTTTGTCGAAAAATATCACATCTTGTTTAGGTTTTCACAATCAGCCCAGAGCTTCATGACACCTTAAGGAGGCAAGGGAATCCGTTCCCGTATTGACCGGAGTGGGATCGATTGGGAACCCACCCGGAATGCAGTATAGTCCAAGGCGCCACCTACAGCTGGTGTGACAGTGACCTCTGGTCACATTAACTTTACTTGGAAGTTGAAAAAGATGATTTAGTGTGACTATCACGTTGCCATGAAAATATCTCACCAAAACCCTTCTGTGAAACTGGGATACAGAGGATCATTGACTGGCTTCACACATGAGCGAAGTATTTAAGTTGGAATTGCGTTTCCTCACACCGCGAACAGCAGCAACGATGTCTTAAAGCAATCCGAACTCGGAAGCCTCGAATGCAATCCGGATTTTTTGTATACGTACGTGAAAACGCCTCTTGCGGTTTCTATTTCCCTCCAGAAGGAAATCAGACTCGTCGTCCAACAACGCCACGGAAACGTGGTTAGTGACCAGCATTTGCCATTGGCTCATTCTGCGCCGCAACACCGCACAACTATCGGGCCATCACAGCATTGCAGTCCTGGCCGATAACGCAGTCTAATCCGTAGTGTGCGTACACAGCATCTGGACGGAGAGTCCACTTCAGCATTCCTGGATTGAGTAGAGAAACAAGGCGCTCCACCCAGTCCGGACGGCCTGACTTGTTTCCTTACGCCATCATTAGCCATAAAACTAAGTTTCTCGAAAGTTAGAAGAAAGCTTGGACTAACTCTTCTATCTCTTTCTTACGCCGACGGTCCACGGCTATCGACAGATGGATCGACAGCGGCGCATGGGCCCGCCCCAGCAGCTGTACTCACAGCGAGCTGTTGGCGTGCTGGGCTCGGCTGTCGTCCGCGGGCAGACCGAGCGGTGACCACCACGGCCGGCACATCGCCTTCCGGAACTCGCGCCGGAACCTGCCTGCAGTGGGCGAGGCCATTAGTCGGGCCAGGCACAGCGGCACGGCAGGAACCCAGTCGAGTAATGACGCCAAGCCACGTGCCATGGGGACTTCCGCTGAGGTAGGATAGCTTCAGATGTTATAACGTTTTATATTTGGTTGTTATATATTATATACATGACAAGACTTGTCTTAGGTAATATACACTTTATACCTTACTTGATTGTGCTTTATACAAAAATACGTAAACATTATGCACATTTTACAGACATTAGATTACATATGTATCTATACATGTGCATATCTATGCATATATATATATATATATATATATATATATATATATATTCATGTGTATTACATGCGCACTTTGAAACAACCATCATCATGTAAGGAATTAGGCGGCGGCTAACTAGATCAGTGATGTGACGTAGTGAAAACGGGCATTACACAAGGTAGAAATGAGATCCATTTGTCCCATTTGACATCTTCCCTCTTCCCACAGTATGACGCACCTTTGAAGGAACGAATGATCAAGGCAGTCCAAGCACCCCTAAATTCAAATATCCTTATCAAAGAAGGAGCCTCACTCAACTAGCCGCACAGCAGAGTTCTGCTTTGAACCGCTGTGGTCCGCGCTTTCGCACTCGTGCAGGCGTGCGGCGCATCGTATTTCGAGCGGAGGGGGGGAGGGGGGGTCACGACTTGGGTCTGTGGGCAAGGTAGGTCAGCGGCAGCAGTACCGCACTTTTTAACTTTGGCCTGCGTTCCGCACCCATTGTAGTGGCCTAAACAGGCGGAGTTAGCTCGAAACCAAACAAATTTAGGCGGGTTTTGCACTGCCAGTGTGCGGACTCCAAGTTCCAAACGTAGGATGTCAAGTGGATAGCTTGACTTAAAGATACGTGCCTTCCCAAGATATCCTGGGAAGGTCTCTTGGGTCAGAAACGCTCCTGATCCAGCGATACGTTTTAGGCGGAACGCTGTGATGAGAGCACGCCTGTCACTCTCTCAAAAGAAAAACATCTTCGAATGGAATCTTTCACAGGAGATTATCAACACTACTACCAGCCGCCAATTTTGGCGAGAAGCTCTACACACATGGCCTAACATAAACGAGCCAATACCGTAGTCATTGTCGGTAAACAAAGTTATTAGCCAGGTACTATGACTGCAAAGCCATCTCAACCGGAAAACCCTTGGTGCCTTTTGACGCAGGGAGCTTATTATTAAGAGCCTTTCGCATATTGTTAATGTTGTTAACATGTGACGTAATGTGCTGCTTACAGCGAATGCAGTTCTTAGCAAATGCGGTTTCCAGCTCTTAACAACATTCACGTTATTAAAACAGACTGCAAGACGCTGCAAGAGAGCAATAATACCGAAGAGACCAGCGCAGTTCAATAGCGAGTTTCTTAAGTCATGTCCGTGTTGCATTCAACCAGGTGTATCTAGATGGGCATATCGTAAATTGCTCATGATATTCAGTTCATGGACTGAATAGTGCAATAGAAAAAAGTGAAAGGAAGTGATAAAGACAGCTCACCTCGGTGATCAGCATTCTTGGTTTTTTGTATATCACTGTTTCTACGAGACATCTGATGACATTTCTTTACGTTAGCGGCAACTTAGAATATTGCACCGAATACTTCCTACTAATGAAAGTCCACAGGTTTTCGGAATGTTGCAGTCGGCCAAGTGCCAGCACTGTCCCGCAATACCAGAGAACATGGAAAGAATAGGTGCCACGGCGAAGCAGGGATTAATATCAATTGACAATGCTGGAAAAATGCATTTGGCCGTGTGCAGACACTCAAGCACGCAAACACCCAAAATACTGGTTAGGGAGAGCACGGTCGAGTGTGACGTACTACGGACACCAATTATTCATCCACTGAGAGTCCTATGACAAGACAAGGTGGCGTGTCTACAGGCGTCAGCCGGACGGTGAGGCATCGCATCCGATTGTAAGCTACATGGCTGGGGTCGGGTCAACCACAATATGTAACAGGCTGCCGGAATACTGTGTCGGAATCGTGTTGGTGCACGACCTTTGGCAGGACGGTGTCATGACACCGATATGTACACACAGTTCAAAAACGTGGAGAAACGTGTATTATGCATATAAACGTTAGGACTAAAAATGCCAATAAGCGGCACGCTGAAAAACAGAGCAAGAAAATAAATACGACAAACGAAGGGTCGACTCCTCCGATTGCTTGGTATATGAAATGATAATAATGAATGCCTCCATTCAGCCTAATATCGCTGATTTCACAAACCACATTGCCACTTTGCTTGGTAGATGCGGCAGCGCCCGTGAAGCATGACCCGAAGCCTGCACCGGATGCTGGGGAGCGTGTTATTCTCGGCAACGGAAGGATCGTCAGGTATCGGAGGATTTTGCAGTTCCAGAAATCAAGCCGGTCGTCCAGCCGGCTGCCCTCGTGGGCGCTAGATGAAAGCTCCTCTAAACCCGCCCGGATTTTCGGTAATGAGTGCAGTAAGCTTTCTCCTCCAGCCAACGCACGGTCCGATGATGTGAGCTGATTCCTCCAGTGCACACACGTGAAGTTCTCACATTCTGATAGCGCGCGTGCGTGCAGTAGATAATATCGCTATCAAACAATGTTTTGAGAGGAACGTTTTTTTAGTGTAATGCATGGTTAGATAGATAAATACGCTGTGCGTATAACTAGATCTCATTATGGGTGTATTATGTATTACACTTATCTTGAGCTTGTTTTACCCGGTCTTGTTTTACCTGTGTTTTTTTAACCTCATATGTCTTATCAGTGACGGCTCTACCACTATCTTCGTGGCCCAGTCGAGTAATTCCCCATAAATTTCAAATCAATGATAACCTTGATTGGGTCATAAACTTCTCAGCAAAGTTTACAGCTGGCAGAGTGAACGGGAAAGCATCTTCTGCGACTCAAGGCAGCATTTCCTGACATGCTGCTTTGGCAAGCATTACGGCCTGGGCTCTGATCTCTGCCATCATTGCGACTCATCACCACAAATCACATCACATCACATCCTCGGGATGAGACGAGAACGCACTCTTCTCGATGGCGAGCTCTATTAGCTCCTGCATGTGGACTAGAGAAACCTCAGGAGCTTCAGAGATGCAGCATGTTCTTTGACCCACTGACACATGTGTTGTTTGCGTACATGTGTTGCATGTGTACGTTCACAGCAAACTTGCACCTGGTGTGCGCCACCTGCAACATGCTGTTGCAGGTGACTCAACATGCTGTTGTGTGTGTGCAAGATAATTAATATATTTTTCTGCATCGACACAGGCATGGAGGCTGGCGAAGTACGTGAGCTGAGGTGGCTTATGTCGACTGCCATCGATGGGACTGAGCTGGACGACAGGAAGGTCATGCCACTGCAGCAGCCGCTTTGCCGAACGGTTCCGCGAACAACTTCAGTCCAGTTACCACGCCATCGAGTTCCTTAAACAGCTGCCACATATTAAGATCATTCGCATGCAGCTGGTGGATGAAGTGGTGAACAAGTTTCGTGCTGACCAGTTTAAACAGGCGGCAGATGCCGCCAGAGCGTCCAGTTTTTACCACGGTGCCATCATAACCAAGGACGGTCACGCCTCGGTCATATTCGCAGGAGATTGCCTGGAGTTCACTGAAGTCGTCTATATAGCCTTACTGGACTGTAGGGTTAAGTGCACAATGTACTCGACACCAGGTTCAGCTGTCACAACCACGTGATCTTCTTGGTTCATATCTCCCGCGCTGACACAGGTGAGATCCGCCCGACCGTCAAAGTACAGTCCAGCCAGGCCCAATTCGCGCCGATGACTGGCTCTAGTGTGCGATATTTTGGACACCCGCTAACTACTCTCCTCGTATTGGCTGCGGGCATACAAACGGAACAGGCATACATTACTAAACTGATTATTAATTACTGACGCTGTAAACAGCTGCTAACAACTACCGCATAAATGACCACAGCCTTATTTTTTGCTTCATCACATCGACTGGTTGGGTACAGCAAGACACGACGGCGTCCCCACTTTCCCCTTTTTATTGCTTCTCCGCACGTTTACACTAGAGGCAAGTGGAATGGAGCGGGCCTCGTCCGGCCCTAGAACGTGGTCTGGCCGATGAAGGCGTCTTCATGTCGATGTTTTAAAAGCCGGGGACATTTCCAAAGTTGTAGAACGTATATCTGTCGCACAACAATCATGTCTGGTGTGTTGTAACAGTGCATAAACTCGTCATGTCAGGATAATCGTCATGTTTACCTCGGAGGGTAGGGAGATGAGGTGAGCGCCTTATAAGCGGGGGTTTAACATTACGACTGTGGTGATACATGAAAAGAAGCGACATACAAGCCCTCTGAACCAACATTAACGTTACAGAACGATACCTCTGTGTATTGTTTGCGATAGCCATCTCACACGAACGTAATGCACTACAGAGCAGAATCAACAACGCCTTTAGGGTTTATTTTTGCTGATTCCACTCTGCAGCCGAGCGCATGCGCAAAAACTACTCTTATCACAGCTTTCAGCCGGATTGCCTTCTTGGTGATTGGTAGCAGCATCGCAGGTAATGTTTAAGGGAATGTCCCACGCTTATATGGGTTCTGAACCGGAATAGCCATCTTGAAGACCTTTCAGTGCTGCTCACAATCCTGCCCTTCTTAAGGCCCAAACCCCTGTAATTTCTGAACTACACGCCCACGACAATGGGAAAAGGTATATCGGGGAGAGTATTGCAAAGTCACCTTGACATTCATGACGTCATAATAGCTTTATTCAAATCCTGTCATCCCATAAACCATGCGGCGATCAA